TACTATCTCCAGCCCAAGTTCCTTTGGCAAGTTCGACATCCCATGAGTGCAGGTAGCGATCGATTGCTGGTGTCAAGTGCGAAGTCGAGAATTTCTCTCATCCGTAAGTACACTTGGCCAACGTGCCAAGCGGAAGTAGCTGTCCATACTTTTGTACGGTGGTTAGCGAACCTTGGTTATCCATTCCGCTTGTGTGAAGCTTTGATGAAACGGTAAAAGTGGTCTGTTATCAGTTGACAGTTGACAGCGGACGTGCAAGCAACATGTCTTGATCTGAGTTTGCCATGTGTGAGAGACTTGCAAATGTCAGCATCGCAGTGTTTTTGGCTAAGAGACGAGATCATCTGTGCAAGCAAGCATGCCGACGGTGCCACCTTCGGATCCTAGCATCGATGAGTTCTTGAGAATGCTCACTCATTCAGCGCGTGTGAGATTGCTCAACTTTGTATCACGACCTCAACTTCGTCAAGCCCTTGTACTTCAATTGACAGCTTTTGTGCGTGACGGGACAGAAAGAATGCTGCAGCAAGAGTTGCGTCGTTTGGATGAGAGGGATAGAGCAAACCTACGTGAAGAGCGTCCTAGCAGTAGTGGAGCTTCAGGATCACGTTCGTCCAGTGGCAATTGCAGATCCCATCCCTATGCACCTCCACCCCCTCTGCCAGCAATGAGGAGTGCGCCGAGTGCAGGGAGCGACAACCCATCTTCCAGTTCCACACCTCCCCCCCTACCTCCCCCTGGCCCTCCCCCTCTCCCCCCCCCTCCCCTCCCTCCTCCTCTTCCCCCTCCCACTTTCCCCCCGCCCAGTGCCAGTGCTCCCGTCTTTCCACCCCCGGCACCGCCAGGAAGCTTGGGGCATCGTGTGTCTGAACCTCCTTTGGTGTCGAGTACCGCTTCGTCGTCGGCTGCACCTACATCTTCAGCTACGTCAGGTACTCCGATCAGATCCAAACCCATGCCTACCAGAAGGCGTGAATCACGCCGATTTCGACGCAGTCAATCGTCTGATCTCAGCTGAGTATGTCCGAAGTGACAGGGTTTCGCTTGTATCTGTGACGCATGTGAGTGCTGAAGTGAGGAAAGAATGTGCATTGGATGCAAGTGCTGTGAGTATTGTTTCATTCATGTTGTATTGCATACCAGAACAGTGTTGCAGCACCCTGCTCAAGTGTCGTCCCATTGCACTAATGTCGAGCAACTCAGCGTGCGACCCATTGGCACCTCTTCAACGCTGGATTTCCTACACACAACAGGAGCTGATCACAATCAGAGGTGAATTCCGTCACTTTCGCGAAGAAGCTTTCTCCGTCCAAAAGATCCAACAAGCCCAACTCGACGTGCTCACCACACAAATCAGGGACACGGAGACTCAGGTGGCAGAAGTCATGTCTGCCATCACAGAACTGTTTCAGAAACTTCAGAAGACCAACGAAGTGGTGGGCAACTTGCTGACGGATTTGCATTCTCTTCAATCTGTGACTTCCCATTGTGTTAATTCTCTTCAACTACAAGAAACAACAGAGTTGCCCCCAACGCTCCCAGCAGAGATTGAAGTTTCAGAGTGAAACGTGAGCAGTTGCAAAGAAGCGTCTGTGCGCCAGTGTCACTGCAAGGGTGTTGCAAGGGATGTGCAAGGGACGTGCAAGTGATGTGCAAGTGATGTGCAAGGGTGATGCAAGCGATCTGCCGGCACCATGTGTTGTGAGCGTTTGCAGACATTGTCTTGCCTCATGTCCTCAAGGTTCTCTGCAGTGCAAGACAGATTCGGAACGTACAAGTAGCTTTCCATCATGTCGGTGTCCAGTTTCGAGAGCGATGGTGCCTCTGTATCGGACGTGCACTCTTCCGACTTCTCGTCAGACCTTGCAGTATCGGACCAAGAACGTGATCGACGTGCAGATGTGGCATCAGGTGTTCCTTTGGCCAGCGATCCGGATTCGGCTGATTTTGCTCTTGATCATGAGAGTATTAATGCGTCTTCATCCATTGACCGACAGTCTACGTCTTTGTCCTCTGGTCGATTAGTTCATGTCCCAAAGCCGAAGCAGTCCGCTGCAGAGCACACCAACATGTTGCAGACGGACCCACCGCGGAAACGCAAACTTCGTATGATCGATGAAGGGCCTGATGGTGTGCGCATCAAGATTCGCCCTGCACCCAGTACCCAATTTCGCCGCAGAATGGAAGGCACGAGAGTGCTTGGTGACGATTTCTTCATTCACAACAGAGCTCAGTTCATTCTCGATTTCTTGAGACAGCATGGAGAACGCATTGCTAAAGAAAAGCAAGGCCCTAGGAAGCGTTTTTCGTCCACTTTGAAACTTGTGCAGTACGTTCTTGACCGAAAGTGAGAGATTGCACAAAGAAAGTGAAAGAAACTAAAGAGTGCGCGTTTGCCGTGCTGTGCATTATCAGCTTTCTGCATGAACCGTCTTGAGTTGCAGCATTTGGCATCCAGTGAAACTGTGTAGGTTGCCCAACATGAAGCGCAAGGCCCGTGAAGCCAATCTGCCTTGGAGTACGAGCCGCGACTACATTTTTCGGATGTGGGTTCGTGTATGCAGTCGGGCAACCGGACACGAGACTATTACTCTCCACATCCAGCTATCAATCAACGATTCCATCAACGTTGCCAAATACCTCGTCGCGATGCAGCTCTGGGAGAAGTTCGGCTGGTGGCCTAGGTTACACACCTTCCAGCTTGTACAAAACTTTCGCCATCTTCGGTTTACGGAACCTGTAACGACTGCTCAAACCCTTGAACCAGTCGATTTCGTTGTGACGGTATAAAAAGAGACCACCTCTGTGTCATGTCAAGAGAAGTGACGAGCAAGGGATGTGCAAGCGGATTGCAAGTGATGTGCAAGGGATGTGCGAGGTTCGTGCAAGTGCAGTGCAAGAAATGTGCAGAGTAACATGTCAGAGATGTGCAAGTGCTGCGGTGTTGTGAGCTGCTTTCATCAGACATGCAACAGAGTTTTGTTTCAAGCACTCTGAAAATTGTGTAGATCCCGAACAACATGGATTGGGCCGCTTCTGACGTGCTCGAGAACATCTTGATGTACGTGTTGCCGATCAGAGCCAGAATCACATTCATTACTCGCCTCGATCGAAATGATGACCCAGAAGAGGCACAACCCATAACCGACACCATGGTGGCGTACACGTTCCTGCGACGTGGGATACAGGAATTTCGGCTGTCCTCCTCGGTTGAGTTGACCATGGGCTTTCAGTCTTTGCATACCACCATCCGTTTTGTCCAAATCAATGCCGTGGCTTGCACCATGTTGAGCAGCCCGTCAAAAAGGTGGATGAGAGCTGTGGTAGACCTAGTACAGGAGCATTTGCGAGTGAGTATCGTGTCATTGGCCAATGCTGCGTACCAAACTGCAACTCAGTGTTGCATGTACTTCGATGCTGGTGCGGAAGAAGCCGAAGTCGAATTGCACTTAGTGCACAGACTGCGTTTCCTGAAGTTTCGTAGCCCATTTTCCTAGATCTCTTGAGCATAAGACTTTCCCATGAAAAATCGGTGAGATAAAACAGCGCGCAACGACTGTCAACATTGCAAGGAGCCCCTCGGGGCTTGTGTGTGTCCAACTCTGTTTCCAAGAGATGTGAGTGAGTTAAGCAGCAGGGGGCGTGGCAGTCGCATCCTAGCCACGCCAACGAAACTATGGATGTTGACTGGATGGGCTCACAGACGTGTGAACCTGTACCTGCATAAAGCTGCTCATGGGTCACGCATGTGGCAGCTTGAGAGCGTATCTGTGAATGCGACAGTCATGAGTGAGGGCTTGCATTGGTCAGTTTCTTGCTCAGTTCTGTTCAAGAGTTTGTCTGTGAATGCGACAGTCATGAGTGAGGGTCTGCACATGTCAGTCTTACATGAGTGATTCGTGTTTGTCCTATGGTAGTACTTCAGATTGCATGTTCTGACTTTCTCGTGCAGCCTCTGACTTTCCCTGACAGCTGCTGACTCTCCCTGACAGTATGAACCGACAGATCCAGAACCTGCGAACGTGTGTCAAGTGTGTGTGTGTGTGTGTGTGGGTGTGTGTGGGTGTGTGGGTGTGTGTGGGTGTGTGTGGGTGTTGGGTGTGTGGGTGTGTGGGTGTGTGTTTTGTGTGTGGTGTGTGTGTGTGTGTGTGTGTGTGTGTGTGTGTGTGTGTGTGTGTGTGTGTGTGTGTGTGTGTGGTGTTGTGTGTGTGTGGTGTGGTGTGTGGGTGTGGTGTGGTGTTGTGTTGTGGTGTGTTGTGTGTTGTGTGTGTGTTGTGTGTGTGTTGTGGCTGTGTGTTGTGTTGTGTGTTGTGTTGTGTGTTGTGTTGTGTGTTGTGTTGTGTGTTGTGTTGTGTGTTGTGTTGTGTGTTGTGTTGTGTGTTGTGTTGTGTTGTGTTGTGTGTTGTGTGTTGTGTGTGTGTGTGTTGTGTGTTGTGTGTGTGATTGTGTGTGTGTGATTGTGTGTGTGTGTGTGTGTGATTGTGTGTGTGTGTGATTGTGTGTGTGTGATTGTGTGTGTGTGTGTGTGATTGTGTGTGTGTGTCTGTGTGTCTGTGTGTCTGTGTGTGTGTGTGTGTTTGTGTGTGTGTGTGTGCGTGTGCGTGTGCGTGTGTGCGTGTGTGCGTGTGTGCGTGTGTGCGTGTGTGCGTGTGTGCGTGTGTGCGTGTGTGCGCGCGTGCACTACCATCCATGTGGAGTCGGTGGAAGGGCGGAGGGATGCCCTTTGTCGGCGCCTGTGGCTTTAAATTTGTGTCGCTTCCTGTCTAACTGGTAGCCAAATGACAGGTGCATGCTTTTCCTGCGAAAATTCAGCCAGGACTCAGGTCCACAAACAAGGGGAGAACTCTAACGGGCAGGCTAGATTGAAAGCAGCCTGCGACGGTTATGAATCGTCAAACGAAACTCGGGTTTGAGCGCCAGTGCTGTCATGCGTTGTTGGCTCGGTAGTGGTCCGGCGTTTCCAACATACACCGCCCGGGTCGCACGCCCATCTCGCCCCTATGAAGCTTCATGTTGGCCCGAAGCTGAGGTACCCAGGGAATCTTTCCTTTCCTCGGCAAGATACATACCTCGGCGAGGCAAGGTCTAGAAGTCCAGCACCGCAAGCCGTGGCAGCCGTACCTCGAGTCTAGAGCTTGTCGGAGATGCCAGGACCTCTTTGGGGGCACGATTGAGTCAGCACCTCGGTGGCTGACGACTGGAAGCTTTCTGAAGTAGTTTAGCCCCTGAAGATATGCGATGTTCGATACCATCGATTACGACCAGGCTTTCTGCACGCCGTGCAGTCCTAGTTTAGGCAATCATGCGCATGCCACGGATTCAACTGACAGGCAGCCCGCGGAAAGGACGTCATGATCGCCGGTCATGGAGCCTTTGGAGTGGAGAACGCCGCTTTCGACAAGATTATGCTAGTTTGTTCGTGTGATGCTTTGCACAGAGACCGGCCTCTCTTTTCAACCTACCTGCGTGGCCCAGATTCGGACTTGCTGCGAGTTCTCTGCCAAGCGGATCTACATGGTTTGCCGCAGGACTGCTGTGTGCCGGATCGCTGCTCATGCAGTGACGTAGTGTTCTGACTGGCAAGACTCGACTTCTCTCTCAGATGGTACTTTGCTCCAGCAGCCGCAGTTTGAACGATTCGTTCTGCCCCTTTGCCTAGTTGGTTTCTGTGAGATCTACATGCTGCACCCGCATCGCATCCAGGAGGCAAAACACTGAAACGGAACACTTGAGCAAAATGAGACGTCGAACAACATAGGGAATATGTGGCAATGTGGTTGGGTGGTTCAGCCATGATACTAGGCACGGATGGCTCTTTGGAGAGCGACCGTGGTGGATGAGTGCGACTCAGAGTTGGGATGGATGGGTGCAGCTCGTTCTTGTGGACCCATTGGGGCACAATCCCCAGCTTCGTGCCAGGCCTGGCTCGCAACTTTCGGCCCCAAAGTCTGTCAGACATGTATGCTCATTGCGAAATCTAGGCTGTCTCCAAAGCTCTTCTATGAGTAGTAGTGGTAGCCATACCCTGTTCAGGACGAACCTGGCCTGTCCACGCGTTAGCTCTTGGCAGCTTACCTGCATGTGTGTCACTGTTGTGAGCTCACTTAGTAACCTAGTGCTCAACGCCCTGACAAGCGTGCTTGGCTTATTCGGCTTGAGGTTCTGCAACCAGTCAGACCCCGCCGTCCCCGGTGGGGCCCTGAAGCAGCAAACGATAGTTGAGCGTGATTCTGTTTGGTTTTCTGCAGCCCCCCTCTTCCTCGAAAGCATGGAGCCGGCATACAAGCTGGGCCCCCATCGTAGTTACGATCCGCACCAGCTTCGTGAGGGGCGAGAGGGTTTCTCGCACGAGGCTTATCGGCTACGACCCGTGGCACTGATCTAAGACCGCAGCTTCGCAAGAGAGTTGCTCTGATTCATGCAGTCATGATTGCTTTGCAAGCCTAGTGGTCCTTGCTTGTCTTGCCGGTGTGAACACGTCAGTGTCAGCTTTTGAGCACACTACTCGACGGTATCTGACCCTGCCCTGGCATACAGCTAGAAGTAGGCAGAGGAGGAGTAGCAGCATCATTCACTCTTCCATATGTGTGTTTTCTGGAAAATCACTCCCGTAACTAGTTCGTGCCAACTGCTCTTTTGGTGTGGATTCTCTCGGCTGGACGGCAAGCAGGATCAGGGCGGAGTGATGGGCTGGGGCAGAAAGGCGCAGTCTTTTAAACTGTGGAAAACCTCGCATTTAAGTATTGATTTGGATTTTGTGAAACTTCCTCTGCAAAAGGTCAGCACGCAATCAGCAATCATCGTCTTGAAAGGTCATACCACTCCGTCACTTACAATGCGGCCCGAACGACTGCACAAATCAATCAGAAAGCCGGAGGCTCAATGCGGGTTGTAGCGAAGTCTAGGTCTGCGATGCTTGCGAGTGTGCACAGGCCAGATTTGGCATCGGCGACGTATACTTCTTGGCCCTCAGCATGGGCAAATGTGAAGTGATCGTCGATGAGGCGGCAAAGGTTATCTGCACAGATTGCCATGAATTGCTTGAAATGCTCCCTTCATTCATTCAGCCAAAGGTCCGCAAGCCTGGTACAGGTGAAGAGACTCTCGGAAGGGCGCGTTCACCTCCAGTCCGGCCGAGAGTTGTCTGCGCGCCCATTAGGCAACTCGGGCAAAGTTGGCCGCTGATATTTCGCCGAGATTGCTGAGGTACAGACGATTCTCAAAGTGTTCGGTTTCGTCGGAGACCAGGAGGCACAATAGAAGATTGGTTTCGTGCATCGTGACACTCTCGCTGGCACCGTTCTGATCATGGCTCTGTACAGGTTGACCGCCTGCTGAAAATCAAGAGCATGTACGGCTACTGGGTGTCGCTCTGAGCCGCCAGTTTGAGACCATGAAGAGTTTGAAACACAGTAATTAATCCTGCACCGCCCGATAGTTGTTTGCGAGGGAGGGAAATGGCTGCAACGCAATGGAGGAAATCAATTCATATCATCTCCA